CGACGAAGGATATTCAAGTCAAGGCTCAACTTCACAACGAAGGGGCCATCCGCGATTTCAACTCCACGACGGAGGATATCGTGGCACTCAAGACAACACAAGTTCAACTTCACAACGAAGGGACGGCTGGTTGTCAACAAACAACTTCTCAATTTCAAAGCCAATTTCAACTTCACAACGAAGGATATTGGACTCCAGACAACGCAAGTTCAACTTCACGACGAAGGGACCGCTGGTTGTCAATAAACAATTTTCCCAATTTCAGAGCCAATTTCAACTTCACAGCGAAGGATATTGGACTCCAGACAACGCAAGTTCAACTTCACGACGAAGGGACCGCTGGTTGTCAACAACAACTTCCCAATCTCAGAGCCAATTTCAACTTCACAACGAAGGATATTGGACTCCAGACAATGCAAGTTCAACTTCACGACGAAGGGACCGCTGCTTGTCAACAACAACTTTCCAATCTCAGAGCCAATTTCAACTTCACAACGAAGGATATTGGACTCCAGACAACGCAAGTTCAACTTCACGACAAAGGGACCGCTGCTTGTCAACAAAATTTCATTCAGAGACAATTTCAACTTCACAGCGAAGGATATTGGACTCCAGACAATGCAAGTTCAACTTCACGACGAAGGGACCGCTGCTTGTCAACAACAACTTTCCAATCTCAGAGCCAATTTCAACTTCACAACGAAGGATATTGGACTCCAGACAACACAAGTTCAACTTCACGACGAAGGGACCGCTGCTTGTCAACAAAATTTCATTCAGAGCCAATTTCAACTTCACAGCGAAGGATATTGGACTCCAGACAATGCAAGTTCAACTTCACGACGAAGGGACCGCTGTTTGTCAACAACAACTTCCCAATCCCAGAGCCAATTTCAACTTCACAACGAAAGATATTAGACTCCAGACAACGCAAGTTCAACTTCACGACGAAGGGACCGCTGCTTGTCAACAAAATTTCATTCAGATTCAATTTCAACTTCACAACGAAGGATATTGGACTCGAGACAACACAAGTTCAACTTCACAACAAAGGGACGGCTGGTTGTCAACAAACAATTTCCCGGTTCCAGAGCCAATTTCAACTTCACGACGGAGGATATTGGACTTGGAACAATGCTACTTACTTGGATTTCAACTTCACGACGAAGGATATCCAACTCAAAGAAAGATTATCTGCCATCAAAATTGTCGAGTTCGACTCCATTCAGCTCGATGACACATCAATCACACTACTTTCCGGTTGCAGTCGAGGTTTTCAAGTCGAGAAGAGGACATGGGTTAGCTGTGCCTTAGTGACAAGCAACCATTTTCAAACAGCATAGCTTAAGTCAAGAAAAAGCTATCTGTCAATGAAGATTTCTGAGTTCGATTCCGATCCAAGGTCTTTAAACCGAGAAGAAGACCGAAGGGTAACGGGAAGCCACGTGCTGATTCAAATTCCGAACTACGGCTTTAATTTCATATCATTTCAAGATGAACTCGACTTCACGATGGAGGAGTCATCCGTAACTCAATTCGACAGGGAGTTATTGAAACATCAGAGTCAATTTTCAACTCCGTCGAACGAAAAGTGTGTCTTTTAATCTTTGCCCTATCCCCGTTACACGACTATGGGCAAAGAGGGGCAGCTGTCAACACACCTTTTCGTCCTACTAGAATTCAAACTCCTAAAGATAGGATAGAATTTTGCTAGGATTCAAAAAATAGGATAGAGTTCTACTATTATTTAAATTCCTAAAGATAGGATCTACAAGCACTATAAATAGCCATTGTAACTCACCATTTGAACAGACGATTTACACACAAAACATAGAGGAAAGCACGGGAAGATACAAAGGCAAAGCTATTGTAAAGGATTCGAAAAGGAAATAAAAGGTAGCATTTTCTTTTTTCTTTCTTTTGCATGTGCACGTTATTTTTCTTGAGATTTGGTTCGAATAACCCAAAACGTGGGTTGCGCCGATGACCAAAATGGGTAGGGTTTCGAAGTTTCGAACCTAGATCTACCCCGAGGCTTATTTTGAAAAACCGGTTTGATTTTCGGTTAAAGGAGGGGAAGAGCTTTTTAAAAATCTATATTAGTCCCTTTATTTATTATATGGATATTTTATTCATTTATTTTTATTATTTATGTTATTATTATATGTATATATATATATATATATATATTTCTTTGATATTCTACTTATAAGTCTATTATTACTATATATATTGTAATTATCTTTATCTAGTCATATATTTTTTATATTTTTAATGGTTGATTTATATACCTATTATTAATATATATATATTCTTAATTATTTTTATTTAATTATTTTTTTATTTACGTAATATATCTTATAACTTTATATATATATATATATATTATTATTATTTTTGTTTTTTTATTTATTATTATTATATTATTTTTTAAAAAAATCTTGTGTCTTTATCATTATTATTATTAAACATTATATTATATATTACTAACCTAGAGGACCCATTTTTTTGTCTTATTTCTGACTAAAGCACATCACTTTCGGTGAAGTGAGAGGGTAACTTTTCTATTTTTTAATACTTTGATGTATATATATATATATATATATTTCCTTTTTCAAATATTACTATATATAATTATTACTTTACTATTTTTTTCCTTTATCTTATTTATTTATTTTATTTATTTTATTTTTCCCTTTTACCTTATTTGTTTTATTTACTTTGTTTATTTAACACATTTCTCGATTTTTTAAGGATATTTTCAAATCAATAAAGGGTAAGTAATTGGGGTCGAAACTTTACCTTTTAATTTAACTTGTTATTTTTCTTAATTAAGACAACTGGAAATTACGTAGTACCGAAAGGGCGGTTCAAGGGTGCTAATCCTTCCTTGACCGTAACCGACTCCCGAACCCGACATATTTCTGGTAAGACGCAGATCAGGTAAGAAATAGGGTATCTGATCAACCCATTTATTTTTAAATAAATGATCGGTGGCGACTCCAATCCATTTTCCTAAGTCGAAACCCAATTCCGAGGCCCAACCGAAAGACGGTTGCGACACCAACGCGCTGCCCATGCCAAGCTATTCTGCACGTTGGCACTCATGGGTTATACCTTTCATATCCCATATGACAAAATCTTTGATAAATAATACTATTTTTAGTAATTTATGAGACTGGTGTAGAGATTAGAGAACAATGAACGTATAAGTACAATTGTACAATCAAGAGGCTCTTTATGTATTAAATAAATGATGCATTGTCCCATTGTCATATAGAATCTAAGATCTTCCTACACTTTCGAGACAAAAGTATTTGGTTCATTGCATTCACCCTGTAAGACCAAATGAAGTATACTTAATAGACTGACAAATCAACTGAAAGTGAAATTTGGTTAATTTCAATGGATCTAGGCCATTGGTAGAGTGACAAATGTTGGCATTTTAGTCATAATAAATGTGGAGGCTGCTGTTCCCAACAGTTCTTGAAGAGCTGTCCCTGGAAACAAACAAACAGAACATCACATTTCCTTTTGTCCATTTGTTAATCACTCCAAAATCCCGTTGCCTTGGGACAATCCGATCGTTCCAAACTCCAATATATATATATATATATATATGCGTGTGTGAGGGGAAGAAGAAAAAAAAAGTAAAGGAGGAGAAATATACAATATATCATGAAGGTTTGGAAGCCATATATATGAGACCAAGTAGAAGTTTATAGCTCAGTTGATAGAGAGTAATGTTCTTAACCTTGTTATCGTAGGATCGAGTTTCACTGAGGACAATTTATAATAGATGTTTTCCACAGAAGTTGCTCTCAACCTAAGCGATGACCCATTACATATAAAAATAAAGTCAGCTAATTAGAAGGTCATAGTATTCGTTTGGAAAATGAAATCTATTAACTAAAACCACACACAAATATTTTCAAAATACACTTTCAAATCAAATAAAAATATATTTAAATTATTGAACTTTATATTTTTGAGACCCATGTGACATGAAATGGGTATGTTGATTTCCTTTATATGACTTGCCAACACCCAAAAATAAATGTTAAAATCGATACTATATATCCTTAATTATAATTTTATTTTATGCATATATTTTCATATACCAATCAAATCCAATATTCCAATCGGTCATCATTAGCTCTTCTTCCAATTAGTCAACTCTTAATTTTTTTTATAATCACTACTTCCAACCTTTTTGTCTTGCATGCAGCACTCATTCTTAGCTTAATTAATTACTATAATTTAATAAAAACAAAATACAAATTAATATGAAAAGCCTTATGGTGTGAATTAAGGTAGAAGCCCTTAAACTCATGGCCCAAGGGTTAAATAATGAATTAATTATTAATTTAAGTTTCAATAATCATATCAGTCTAATTATATTTGAGTTCGATTCAAATTGTACTTTTAAACAATAAAAATATTCCCTCATCATTCTTAGTTTCTATATGTATTCTAAAATTTATGCATCACTCAGTTTATTTAACAATAAAACTTGAGTAAAATACATCGAATTTATTGAATTATGTTCAAATGATTATTTTTATCAATACACTTTTAAAATTTATAAAATAATCCTCAATTTTTTGAACAACTACAAAATAATCATTAAATTTCATCAAAATTTTACAGTGACTATTTTGAAACTTTAGTGATCAAAATGATCTTTTTAACATAGTTTAGTGATCTCTGGTGTACTTTGTTCATAAAAGTTTACACTAATCAGTCCCCACGCGATTTTGAAGCCACTGCAGTTTAAACCCGAAGAAGACAAACAAAGACTGAGATTACTTCATTCATCACGCGCTGTCAGCGGTTCTAACTGTAATGTACTGCTTTCTGGTCTCTAAACTCTTTTTCTTTTTATTTATTTATTTTTATTTATTTATTTTTATTTTTGTTTTTATTTTTATTTTTGTAATGAAATGGAATTGCTATTTGTATTAGTGCCTCAGCAGAATCCAATGATCTGCAAATATCTAAAAGCTTTCATTTTCTCCATTAAAGCTTAATCTCTGCAAACTTCACTCTTCAAATCATTTCTCTCTTAAAACATCATCTTCAAAAGGGTCTTCTTGTTCCTTCATAATTTGTTTAGATACGATCCTTTTCCTTACAAATGGCGCTCGAAACTTGGCTGATAAAAGTGAAAAAAACCAAATCGGCCAACACCCTGGACACTGCAAAATCTTCAAGACATAAATACAACGTCGAGGTTTTGTCCTTCGAAATCGCCGGCCTTATGTCAAAGCTTCTTCATCTATGGAACTCGCTCTCAGACAAGACCATAATCCGTCTTCGTAATGAATCCATTTCGCTCGAAGGAATCTCCAAGATCGTCTCCGATGACGAGTCTTTCTTGCTGGGGTTAGCCTGTGCTGAAATTACGGAAAACGTTAGGCTGGCAGCCAAGGCTATTTCCAGGTTCAGCACCCGGTGCCATGATGCCAAGCTTCGATGTTTCGACCGGTGGTTCGACGAGTTCGCCGACTCGGGCAACGATTTTCACGGATGGGTTTTGAGTAATAAGGACATGGAAGCTAAGAACAAGAAGATGGAAAAGCTGGTCGCTGTTACTTCCACTCTGTGTAAGCAAATGGAGGAGTTGTCGACGACGGAGAACGGTTTGAGAAAGTGTTGTGTTCCGATCAAAGAGCAGAAGTTTATTGATCTACAGCAAAAGCTTTTGTGGCAAAAACAAGAGGTTAAGAATTTAAAAGAAAATTCCCTGTGGAACGAAAGCTTCGACATGGTTGTTTCCATGCTCGTGAGATTGGTCTTCACTATTCTACACAGGATCAAGTTTGTTTTTGGTCATGGCCATGGCTATTACCATTATCCACCTTTGCCTCGAAGCCTTTCGACTTCGGCAACCGTGTACCCCACTGTAAACCCAAACACTTATAACTTCGTATCCGGGCCATTGAAGGGTAATATCAATTTTTTCGACTCGAATTCGAAGTTTCTGAAGCCTCCTCCGAGTACATTAGGTGCTTCGGCTTTATCGTTACATTATGCGAATCTAATTATCGTGTTGGAAAAAATGATAAAATCACCACAGTTGGTTGGTATTGAAGCAAGAGATGATCTGTATTCGCAGCTTCCTAGCAGTATTCGGTCGGCATTAAGGGCGAGATTGAAAGGAGTTGGGTTCTCGGCGAGTGACTCGGTGCTTGCGGGTGAGTGGAGAACGGCTCTGGGGAGGATATTGGGCTGGTTGTCGCCATTGGCACATAACACGATCAAATGGCAAAGTGAGAGGAGCTTCGGGCACCAGAATTTGTTGCCCAGAACGAATATTCTTCTTTTGCAAACACTCAACTTTGCTAACAAGGAGAAGACTGAAGCTGTCATTACTGAGTTGCTGGTGGGTTTGAATTACATTTGGAGATTCGAAAGGGAAATGACAGCCAAGGCCTTGTTCGAATGCAATTTGCAGAATTCAAGTTAAGGATTAGAAATGGAGCTTAATGGATCATATATTGTAGAATGTTATATGTAAATGACAAGAATTTGATTTAAAATTATTCCAGTTGCATGATCCTTCATTCATTGCTGCTCGTTGTTGCCTCCCATTAAACACAACTTTTGTAGGCATCAAACTATGACTTTTAAATTCATCTGTACTCATTCATGAATTTGATAAAATAATAATGAGTATTTTATTATTATTTGTTTTCTACATAATTTACCTCAAGTAGTATACTACTTGTGAAACAAAAATTCTATACAACAATCCAATGTTATGAGCTTGGCTTCCATTTCGTTGGAAGCAAATACAATTTGTAAAAGAATGCCAGAAAAAAAAACGAATGGGAAATCTGGTGGTAATTATACATGGTTGCGATGTTTGTTGTAGATGCAGCTATCTTGTCGTGATAATAAATGTTACGGATAATTAATAACATATAATAGTTATTGTAGATGTGATTTATTTTTCAAAATCGTTATATATATGATTGTGATATCGCAATAATACGTTTATTACGTTATGTTGTCATCCTAATTTAATTTTATGGTCATGATTTAATTAGAAATCATATCTTTGAACATCTTGCTTCGTCCCTATCATCCCTAGCGTGCAAGTGGGAAAATTATCAGATACCTCATGAATTACATCCGTAGAAATGTAGTGCTGCACTACCAACACCGATGAATGCAAGGAAAAGTACACCAATGTATCCCCAATCGCCCCGAGCTCCGGGCAAGTACCCCAATCCGACAATCCTTCGATGATCGGGGATTTAATTCCCCTTGCCTTCTCCCAACTATGTACAAATCAAACACGTTATCGCCCAATGCTCTGATCCCTGCTATAGTTTCTTCTCCATTGTGGACCTTCATTTCGGCAAAATGTAGCCCATTACTTGCCATCGCCACCTTGGATTTGAAATCCTCTATGTGTTCGTGGTCGGTCAGCCTTTCCCGGTTAACACTGACGCTGCTTTGTAGGTCCGGCTCCAATGTATCTTCATCGGGGAGAAATGTGGCCTCGGTTAAGGTTACATTGTCTTGACTGGCCATCCTACAAGCATAGGCTAACGCCTCTCGATCATCAGGGCCGCCTACGAATAACGTGGCGATATGCCGAGTTAAGTTGCCGCTGAGTTTCTCTGTTGATTCAAAGACTTTCGAGCTGATCCCGCAGTCGATGAGTATGGCTACGGAGCACGGCATGTTCATCAACATGTTGTTGTTCACGTTAGCGAAGTTGGGGTTGGCGTTTCCCATATGACCATCGGCTTTCACTTCCTTATGGAACGGGAGGAGGATGGGGTTGACGCATTTGTCTCCGCCAAGCTACATATGTCAACGTGCATGGTGGCATAAGGGGACATCACGGACATCGTTTGGACCGTCACTGCTCCCTCATCGTTTGCCTTCTCAAAGCTCTCAAACGCACGAAAGATGTTGGCCGTTTCCGTTTTAACCCGATTGAATTGACACCCATCATCCTGGCTGGTATCGTCGTGTATGATGAGCTAGCATTGCCGAGCTGGCTCGTTTGGAGAGCTCCATAAGATGGATTGCGGTGATGCAGAGAGGAGACTCTTTAGTGCCATGGGACAAGTTGACGAGACTAAGGATTCCCATTACATTCCGCATGGAGTGGACACATGCAAGGATTCGTAACTCTGTGTCTGGCTCCGATACTTTGATGCTCCGATTCAAATTTTTCAGTATTTTCCCCGTTAGCCTGTTAACAAATGCGATTATTGGCTCTATCAAACACGACATCACAAGGACCGCAAGAATCATCAAAGGAAATGTCCGGTTGTTTAGAGCCTGCAAGCGGTGATTCATGGAGTGAAGAGTTTGTTGTTGGATTGTCCCATGACCAAAGGAAAAACGGAAGAAGAAGATACCCTGATGTTGAGGTCTGTATTAAGGATGATGAGAGCGAAGACACCTTTGCTGTTCAAAAGCATCCCCGAGAACCAAACTGTCTGAAATTGACATCTTGTAACGTAAGGAAACCAGGAAAACACTGGTAACCTTTGCAGCCCAAGACAATATTATGACGAGAAACACCATGATCAAAGGGGTTGATTCGAATAAAAACGATAAATTGGTTCGTAGTCCTGTGATTAAGAAGAAGAGAAGCGTCAAGATCGCCGTCACAAAATCATAAAGCTTCTCCAAAACCTTGTTTCTCACTGATTCATCTTTCGGTATAATAACATGTCATGACCCATGAGGCGAATTTAGGGATTGCTGAAGAGAAAGAGGTGAATACGGGGAAATTAGGGATTGAAATGGGGAAATTGGATGAAGAGCAGAAGAATAAGGTTATGTTATTACCTGATGGACTTGAAACTCTGGCGTGGGCTGATGGAGCTAAGGAGAGAGTGCTAAGGGAATCTAGTCTGTTGAAAAATAATACAGCTGGCAATCTGTTATGACTAGTCCTATATAAAATTCAGTTGTAATGAACATGAAATATATGAATGAAAATCTTGAGAATTCTGTTTTCTTCAATCTATCTTCTCTATTTTCTTAGTCCTTTCTTAATTTCTTGAGCAATCCATTACATAACACCGAACATAAAAGCGCCCACGATCGAATGCGAGCCGCAAGCATCGGTGGTGAGCCCGCAGAGCAAAATCCCCGTCATGATGAACCATACATCCGTGTCACTGAAGACTTCGCCTTTCGCGCTACGATTGATCCCCCAAGAAAGGGCCGGACGTAGTGCGAACACAAATATCAGGACGAAAACAACCGTGGCAATTATGGTTTTGTATTTTTGGCCATTTAAGATCGATATTGCAATGATGAGGAGAATCCACGAGAACAAGTCACAGAGAATGGCCGAACTCATGGCTATTCTACAAATGTTGGTGTGGAGGAGCTTGAGATCCGCGAGGATCCGAGTGAGATCCGGGAAGTTGGTTGATGTCAACGCGATAGCCCAGAACAACGAACCCCTATAATCGACTTCTTCGGATCTTTTCACCGCCATTAAATACAAACCGAAACCGAGAAGAAGCGGGAACATAATCCCCGCGGCGGTAATACTTATCACTTGAGCTCCAGATTGCATGATAAGGGAAAAATTCATCTCTAATCCGACCAAAAACATGTAATACGTCAATGCCAAGTTAGCTAATGTCTCGAGCACCATTGTTGTTTTATGAGGGAAGATAAACTTTCTTGAGAATTCAATATCTGCAACTAAGGTCAGCCCTAACACCACACCGCACTGCATGCACATGGAAAGAATCAATACATACATATATAGACATATATATATATATATAAACTTACGATGATGTGAGCGACGATGGGAGGCTGGCGTAACGACCGGAGGAGGAGCAAAAGGAATCGATTAAGGAAAAGCTGGGTTAGCAAGAAAGGTAGAGAAGTATTCAAGGAGCTGTGATTTCGCCATAGAGGATCATTGTTTGCATTGTTCATGTAATAACATGCTCCGAGGACATCATTTTTTTTTTGTAACGTAGTGATCGTCGGGCTCAGAAATTAAGGTAAATAGCTTTTGTGGTTCAGATTTGATTTAAAGATTCATTGATTTAAAACGAAGAATTAAGGGGGAAATTAAGGCAAGTATCATTGCTTTTGTGGTTCAGATTTGGTGTTTGCTAGCTTTTTTCCTACAGTATCGGGCATGTTTCATGTAATTTACGTCGACATTTGCTTTGGTTTTTACGTGTACCAGACATTTCTTCGTTTGTAAACAATCATTTGTCTATTACATCTAAATATAATAACCGTAGATAAAATCCAGTAACTTTTAAAAAAATATATATAAATACATATTACAAAGATACAAAAGCATGCATGTTATGATATCATGAAAGCATACAATACATGAATAACAAAATGTACGTCAAATATAAATAGGACACGGAAAAGTATATTTTGTGCACAATTATTATTATATGTAAAAACGAACATAAAAAATATATAGATATGAATGATATGAAATGTTTATATATTTTTTTGCATTTGATTTATGAGAAGCATGTTGTAGTATATGATGCTTGTAATTATTTATGCACTCTTGAGTTCATTATTCATTTTGTGTTTTATTTTCAGACGAAATTGTTTTTTTTTTAATTCAGAAAGTTGGATTAGATAAAGAATCATTCAGATTAACGAAGAGTAAATTATTCAGATTAACATTTTGTAAATGTTTAGTCATTTGGTTAAGCTGTAAAGTGCCATGCTTTGATGAAATTTTAAGTAATCGACTTTCTTCTTTTTCTTTTTTGAGAAGGGAGATTTTATATTAAGAAAATAAATACAAAACACAACCAAAGCAAAAACTTCGTTAAAAAACCTCTTTTAACCAAAATGGAGAAAAAATAGTGCAACAATAATCAACATACAAACAAGGCATAGAAGTAGCACCATCAACTTCAAAGCCTAGCAATGTTACTACACGAAGCAACCCAGCACATTCCAGACGCAAGTGAAAAGACAATCCCCAACCACAAACCGCCCAAGCTGCTGCAATAAGACATTCCAACACAGCAGAACGGGGCTTAAGGAGGACCAAGTCAGCAACAAAAATCAGTTCGATCCCATAACAAAACAAGCAAAAACGGGCACCAATGGACCAGAACCCAAAAAACAACCAGATTACTGCCTCAACCTACCACGATTCTTAACGCCGATGGAAGCCAAACCTGGATTCCTATAAAAATCCATCACCGAATAGGCAGTAGTAGGCCATTTGCAGTGGCACCAGTAACTGATCCTCAACAGGGACGAATTGAACAATTTCTCCTCACACAGCACTTTATTATTAAAAACCACTTCGTTTCTGCAAAGCCAGACAGACCAAATAATTCCGAAAAGAGTCATTTTCCAGATCAGCTTAACCGAACCACAAAGCGGGATATTACACCAGACACTAATCAGCTCCTTAACATTTTCAGGCATCACAAACGCAAATTTCCAGAGATAGCACCATTTTTGCCAAACTCTCCAAACGACCTCACATTGACAAAAGATTTACCGATTCAGGGCTCTTTCTACACAACACACACAAGCAGCTATCGCTACTTACAACCATGGTATTAAATTGCGGCCACAACGCAGTGTTACGACCGCATCGTAACAGTTTTGAAGGTCACCGCGACGCAATATTAACGCAACGCGATAAAATATTTTAGAAGTATTGTGATTTTTAAGGAAGAAATCACGCCTTCGACAGCCACTACACGTTACGTAACGTCCGCGGCATCCACAACCGCGACACCGCAACCGTAACCGCGAGAGATGCTGCAACCGTTATTTTATACTATGTTTACAACACCCCGTTTGACTAATTTGAAAAGAGTAGGAATCCTCCCAAGTGAAGTTCTCCAAACAAAAGCTTCAACTTTCGGGGGCTAACTTACCCCAAATCATCCTCCAGAACTTATCTTCAACACTACCCTCCTTGGAAGTCATTAGGCAGTAACTTTTGGGGGAGTAAATCCCATTCGTTTCCCCCCCAACCACCTAAGGCAATCAGAAGAATTTAGCCCAAGAACCACACTGTTAATAGTAGCCCAAAAATCATTCCAGATAGGAATCTCCCAATCAAATAGAACCCTCCGAAGCTCAATATTCCATACGCAAGCCCTATTCACCATGGCACCAAACTCCGACTTCTTAACAGCAAGGCAGAAAAACCGCGGAAACGCTAATCTTAAGGACGGAACATCGCACTACCAATCCTCCCAAAATTCAACCTGACTCCCATCACCAACGATACAACGAAGATTATTACCAAAAAGACACTTATTATTCAGGACAGGGCTGGCTATATTCCTCCAAACCCAAGAAAAATTCCTCATTTGGAAGGGTCTCGGAACCAAAGAACGCTGATCATAATCGTATTTAGCTACCACAACCTTCTTCCAAAGGTTGTTCGCTTTTTCACCAAATATCCAAATATATTTATTAAGAAGAGCCCCGGTTACGTACCCTGAGATCATAGAAACCCAAACCGCCAAGCTCCTTTGGTTTACACACACTCACCCAACTGACCCAATGGATGGACCTCCCAGGGGAGGCACCCCAAAAAAAAAATTCGCAATGAGTTTATTCAACCTCGAGGCCACTCCTGCAGGCATTTGAAAAAGAGATGAGTAATAGACTGGAAATTTAACAAGAACAGATTTTACCAATGTGAGGAGGCCACCAAATTGAAATTATTGAGTCGAATTGAAATTAGTTGGGCTTGGATCAAATACTCATTTCCCCTTATCAAATTAATATTATATTTTAATAAAAATTTATATATCAAACACTGAAAACACATTTCAATTAATTAGATTACTACAAGAATAAGAATTTTCTATCTTATCCAACAATACCTTGGCATAGTTTACTTATTCATTATTTTTTAAAAATAATTTGACATAAAGTTTGTGTTATTTATATTTCTTTTTACTCAAACAATATCGAACGTTTAAACATATTCAATCTAATTTCCTTTTATAAATTATACTAACGATTAAGTGCGAACGTACGATCTTATATTAGGGGAGGCAAACTTTTAAAATTTTAAAAAGAGACGTGTTGGGAAATAAACGAGCAATTTACCTATAACCAGATTAGTGAGAATGCGAAATAAAAGCGGAAAATAATGCCCGAAATTGATAACAGAGTTCAACAAATTTTGCCTACGTCTCCGGACTGCTACAAATCTTTTACTAAAGAGAGAAAATTTACATGTGTTTACAAAATACTCACTACTCATAAGAAAACTCTCTAGTATTGGGAGAAAGAACTGATTTGGGATGATTTTGAAGCTAAATGAGCTAGGGTATTTATAGTTGAAGCTTAAGGACTAATCTTATAAATATCCTAAAGTGTGCAGGGTTAAAATATAATTTACCCATCTCAAAATTTCAACACAATTAATTGCACCGAATTCGGTGGCCTCCCATTATTGAAAATGCAACCCCTTTATGATTTTTAAAGCCTCTTTTTCTGAATTTTTTTTTACAACAATCTCCCACTTGAAGACTAATTTTAATCTGTTTTCACACCTCGATTAATGCAGCAACATTTATGGTCTTGTTACTCTAGCATGCCAACTGAAGCTGAGCACAACTTCAGTTTGTCTGTAGTCACCGTCTTTGTTAACATGTCTGCCGGATTTTGAGCTTCACTAATCTTTTCAAGTTTCAAAATCTCATCTTCTAGAAGAGACCGAATAAAATGATATCTCAATTGTATGTGCTTCGTTATGGAATGAAAAGACGGATTCTTTGCTAGATGTATAGCACTTTGACTATCGCAGTACTAGACGTTGTTCTCTTGTTTCTTGCCTAACTCTTCCAAGAAACTTTGGAGCCAAACCATCTCCTTGTTGCTTTCATAACAGCGCCATATTATGCTTCAGTTGTGGAGAGAGCAACTATCTTCTGTAGTTAAGAAACCAACTCACTGCAGTACCTCCTAGAGTATATATATACCCTGTAATGCTCTTTTTGATGTCAACATTTCTGGCTAAGTCAGCATCTACATAGACTGTCAGTATCGTATCTCCACCTTTGAAATAAAGTGCTTTATTTGTGGTACCTCGCAGATATCTGAGGATCCATTTGACTGTTTCCCGGTATACCTTGCCCGGATTATTCATGTACCTGCTAACAGCTCCAACTGCATGAGCAATATCTGGTCTAGTACAAACCATGGCATACATCATACTTCCAATTGCTGAGGCACACGACACCTTCACCATGTGTGTACGTTCTTCCTTCGTCTTTGGTGACTGTTCTTTGGAGAGTCTAAAATGAACACCTAAAGGTGTACTTACTGGTTTAGCACCTTGCATGTTGAACCTGGAGAGTACTTTGTTGATGTACTCAGCCTGTGATAACACCAAAGTCCCCGACTTTGTATCTCTCTTAATCCTCATCCCAAGAATCTATTTTGCAGTGCCCAGATCCTTCATTGCAAACTGCTTCGACAATTTTTGCTTCAAGTTTATAATCTCTTGCATGTCTGAGCCTGCAACGAGCATGTCAACAACATACAACAATAAAATAATGAAGTTGTTGTCGAAATTCTTGATATAGCAACAATGATCTGCTTGGCATCTGGTAAAACCATTGCTACCCATGAAGCTATCGAACTTCTTGTACCACTTCTAGGAGCTTGTTTTAAACCATACAAGCTCTTCTTCAACCTTCATACCAGGTTTTTCTTGCATGTCTCTATGAAGCCTTCAAGTTGCCTCATATATATTTCTTCCTCCAAATCGCCATGAAGGAAAGTTGTCTTCACATGTAACTGCTCAAGATGTAGATTCTCTGTAGTTACAATTTTCAACAGCAGTCTGATTGTAGACAGTTTCACGACTGGAGAGAAATTTCATTGTAGTCAATACCTTCTTTTTGCTGAAAACCTTTGACAACCAATCTTGCTTTATAGTGTTTGCTCTCATCGTGCTCTTCTTTGAACCTATAAATCCACTTGTTATGGAGTGCTTTCTTGCCTGGTGGTAATTCAACTAATTCCCTCGTCTAATTTGACATATGCGAGTTCATTTCATCTTTTATGGAAGACTCCTACTTGACTGAATCCTCCACCTGCATTGCTTCATCATAGCACTCTGGTTCACCATTTTCAGTCAGCAACAAGTAGTACAAAGAAGGCGAATAACGATGGGTTGGTTTAGGAATTCTGGAGGAGCGTCTTAGTTCTGGTGTGCCTGGTTCTTCTTGAGCTGCTTCAGGATTGATCTAAACATCGTTTCCAGAAATCTCCTCGAACTCAGCAAATTCCTTTGTTTCAGCTTCGATATTGAAGCTACTTGATTCTACAGTTGACATGTCTTTGTACATCACATTCTCGTTGAAAATGACATCTCTGCTTCTGATGATCTTTCAATTTTCGTAGTCCCAAAACCGGTAACCAAACTCATCACCACCATAACCAACAAAGACATATTTGTTGGACTTGGCGTCAAGTTTACTTCTTTCAGCAGAATTTATGTGTACATAAGAAATACAACCAAACACTCTTAAGTGTGAAAGGTTTATTTCTTTTTTGCTCCAAGCTTCCTCTGGTATTCCACCATCCAAGGGAACTAAGGGCCCACGGTTGATCAGGTAAGCTGCAGTGTTGATAACTTCAGCCCATAGCAATTTGGGCAATCCGGCATGTATCCTCATACTTCTGGCACGTTCATTCAGAGCTCTGTTCATGCGTTATGCTACGCCATTCTACTGCGGTGTCATGGGAACTGTTGTCTCCATGTTGATCCCATTATTTGCGCATAAATCTCTGAATCTATTATTTTTGTATTCCCTCTATTGTCAGACCTCAACTGCTTGACTTTCAAACCATTCTCATTTTCCACCATGGCCTTCCATTTTCTGAATGTATCAAAGACTTCTGATTTATTCTTCAGAAAATAAACCCACACCTTTCTTGTAGAATCATCGATGAATGTGACATAATATAGTGAGCCTGCAAGAGATGGAACTGGAGATGGTCCCCAAACATCAGTATGAACCAACTCTAACTTTTCTGCCTTGGGTGTCTTGCCAATCTTTGCAAAACTGACTTTCTTTTGTTTTCCAAAGATGCAATCCTCGCATAGTCCGATATCTACACTCTTTAGATCCGACAGCTTCCCTTTTGACAAAAGTGTCTTCACCCCTTTCTCGCTAATATGGTCAAGTCTTTGGTGTCATAGGTTTGATTTTCCATCAGCATCTGCTACTGTAATTATATTCTCTAAATTTAAGGTTACATAGAGAGTACAAGTCTTCTTACCACGAGCAATGACGAGTGCATATTTGATAATCTTTCATTCACAGCCTGAAAATGTTGTACTATATCCTTCTCCATCAAGTTGTCCTACAGAAATCAAATTTCTTTTGAGGTCGGGAATATGTCTCACTTCTTTCAGCTTTCAGGTGGTCTAGTTTGGCAACTTTAATCGGATGTCTCCTTTTCTGACGATCTTTAAAGTTTCATCATCAGCTAGATGAACCTTCCCAAAATCATCACTGACATAGTTCTCCATGATTTCTTGGCATGGGGTGGAGTGGAAAGATGACTCTGAATCCAAGATCCATAATTCACTTGGACTGTTGACGCTTAAAATAATGGTATCATCTGTCTCCTCTGTCATATTGGCAGATTCCTGTGCGCCGGTATCTTTCTTCGGTGCTCGACAATTTCTTTTAATGTGACCCTTCTTGCCATAATTATAACAGGTAAAATCTTTCTTTCCCGTTCTTGATTTTCCCGTTCTTGATTTTCTTCTTTTGGATTTCGATCTGCCATGATTTGAATTTCTTTATGAAGTTCTCTCTCTAGACTCTGTGTGCAAGGCTGAGGAGCTTGATGCTTCACCTGATTCTCTCCGTCTAATTTCTTCACTCAAAACCAGATCTCGAACATCGTCGAATTTTAATTTGTTGTTTCCCGACGAGCTGTTGACTGCTGTAACAGTAGCATTCCAACTGTCTGGTAGAGATGACAAGAGAATTTAAGTTCGAACTTCATCATCGAATTAAATTTCCACTGAACTCAACTGGGTTGTGATTGTGTTGAGTTCATTTAGGTGTTGAGCCACTGATGCCCCTTCCGCCATCCGCAAATTGAATAATCGCCTCATCAAATGAACTTTGTTTGAGGCTGATGACTTCTCATATATACTGGAAAAAGCCGCCATAAGACCCGTCGTGGTCTTTTCCTTTGCTATGTTAAAAGCAACATTTCGAGACAACGTCAGTTGGAAAACTCCGAGGGCTTGTCTATCGAGAAGAGCTCAGTCTTCATTCTTCATGCCCTCTGGTTGCTTTCCTGAGAGAGGTTGATATATATTTTTCTGGTACAGAAAATCTTCAATTTGCAACTTCCAAAAACTAAAATCCGCACCATCGAACTTCTCAATTTTCACATTCCCTTCGTCTGCAGCCATCGCTCCCACTCGAATTTGGTTTCGTTTGGATCGTTTCTGACAATTCTTGCGAACCACTGTGTATTATAACACCTCCGTCGATAAATTCGTATCGCCGACAATTTTTTTAATATTCATGAAATTCACTATTCACTTGAATAGTAATGAATAGTAACCTCGCAAAAAATTGACAAAATTCACAACCAAAAGCTCTGATTACCAGTTGTTGGGAAATAAACAAGTAACGAGTAATTTCCCTATAACCATATTAGTGAGAATGCGAAATAAAAGCGGAAAAATAATACCCGAAATTGATAACGGAGTTTAACCAATTTTGTCTACGTCTCCGGACTGCTGCAAATCTTTTACTAAAGAGAGAAAATTTATAGGTGTTTACAAAACACTCACTACTCACAAGAAAACTCTCTAGTATTGGGAGAAAGAAATGATTTGGGATGATTTTGAAGCTAAATGGGCTAGGGTATTTATAGTTGAAGCTTAAAGACTAATCTTGTAAATACCTTAAAGTGTGTAGTGGCTAAAATATAATTTAACCATCTCAAAATTTCAACGCAATTAATTGCACCGAATTTGGTTCATAATCCACCGAATTTGGTGGCCTCCCATTGTTAAAAATGCAACCCCTTTATGATTTTTAAAGCCTCATTTTTTTACTTTTCTTTTCCAACAAGACGAACTTATAAAATTCTAAGAGAACAAAAATATATTATCAATTAAAAATATGTAAAATATATACTAATTTGAAACTTTCAGGAGACGAGTGTCCACACTTAATCTTCTCCTATTCATCTCTATAAACGATAATATTAATTAAATTAAACTCAATCTTTACTGATTTGTTTTTATTTTTTGAAAACTACTTATTTTGTTTTTAAATATATAAAATTGAGGACGTTATAATAAAAACAAACCACCAACGTCTATTAAAATTAAAATGGAATTAATCAATCAATAAGGTGTGTTTAAAAGCTTGGAAAGTAGATAAAGCAAGGCTAAATAGCCCCTACGAACGCGAGTAATCATTTTCTTAAAGAAAAGAAAAATTCTTAAGACCCCATCACGAGTTTATTCCAAAATAAGATTTTGAATGAGTGAAGATCAATGTGGACCCTTTGATTTATGTTAATGGTTTATTAAATTTACATATAATAAATTATAAATTCAACACTTTTATTATTTTCATCAATTAATTTAATTAATAAAAATTTAAATTTTCAAATAATAAAATACATTTAAAACAATAAATTATATTTTTATATAAAAAATCAAAAATGGAATACTGAAAATTATGAAAGGCGGTAAAAAAACAAATAATTAAAAAATTATAAGTCAAACGTTCATTTCTGCATTCAATATTTACAACGTGGTTCAAAGTTTTGGTCATTGCACCATCAAACACTATGTTGAAAATATTATTAATAATTTAATCCCAATCTCTCTGTCTTATATACTATATGACATATATACACACAATTAATGGTGAATTTAAAAGTATTTTTTTAAAATGAATATTTATATATTAATAATATAATTTTTCCTATGAAATCGACATAAATAAAATTTTAAGATAAACATCATTAATAAAATAAAAAATAAATATAAAATTAAATTTTGAACATATTTCCATCTTGAACAACTCATACGCCTGTCATTGCACCTGATACTTGATTCATCCATCATTTAATTATCTGTTAACTATAACCGTCTTTGTCGCTCCTCTCAAATGAACTTAGACTCAACTCTCCACGAGATCAACATTCTCCAAGAAACATACCATGTCTAATTGTCTTAATAAGCCCAAGTTTTTACAAAGAACCTCTTCTGCAAATTTGACGCACATGTCTCAGATAAAAAAAATACGGCTCGTGACAATATGTATCATATGTGGTATTTCTTTTTGAATAATTTTTGTGTGTATAAATATATATATTTTGATATTCTTTTTCTTTCATTATGTTCAGGAATCCATAAGCACTCTAGATATTTTTAGAAAACTTATCACATCGATGAAGTCTTACATAATACAATACATCTTTTAAAAATATTGTCTATGTGACACGCTTTTATAAAAAAAAGATTTCTTTCATATATATATATATATATATATATATATATATATATATATATATATATGGATATATTTGAATATATAAAAAAAATATTATTCTTCCAATATCAATGTTACTTGAGATTTTTTTTAACTATTGAAACACTGCAAAAACCAATGTAGAAATCAGCTCCTCAACATGTTAAGGAGTGGAAAATACGTCTGATCTCCTCAGGAGGGTAAGGGAACAGCAGCAGCTCCATCTTGCCATTCCTATCAAAGTGTGCCAAAGCCTCTGCAGCCTTGTTAGCTTCTCGCCTAATATATGATAGCTTCACATGCCACTGGTTATGGATAATCCATGTTAAACATGTGAAGCATTGCAGTGGGCAAAGCTAGAAAACAAACAGAGTATTAGAGATATTTCCATTAAGCATATCGTATACATCACCTGAGCTAGCTTCTTATAGTGAGTTCTTAACAAACTAACAGATTCTAGAATAATTCCCTAACATCCTTGACACGTATACAAGGCTATATTTATTAGTTACAACCAATTCCCATGTATGTCATGCATGCGCTACTGAACCATACGAACAACACCCTCAGCTGCTTCATATATCTCAATATTCTCCCCGCTTTTTCTTCCTCCATTCTTTAACAAGGCAACACATGCAACTTTTCGCGAAACTGCACAAACGCTGGTCTGGTCAGCGGCTTAGTAAGCCCATCAACTACTTGAAACGCAGCAGGAACATAACTGACTCGAAGAGTACCAGCTGCAATCTTCTCTCGGATAAAATGCACATCCAATTCAACATGCTTGGACCGAGCATGACACACATGATTTACACTCAAAGCAACAGCACTCGTGTTGTCACACCAAATCACAGGTATATCACACAATGATAACCCAATGTCACATAGCAGAGCAGCAAGCCAAGTAATTTCAGCAGCCGAATCAACAACATTACTGTATTCTGCTTCCATTGTTGACCGAGAAACTGTCTTTTGTTTCTTGGATTTTCAAGCAACCAAGCATCCTCCAAGAAAGATACAATACCCAGACAGGGACCTACGATCACTGGCATCACCAGACTAATCTGCATCGAAAAAAACTTTAAGACACAACCTAGCATCACTGTCTGAAAACACTAGCCCATGATCCAATGATCCTGCTAAATAACGCATGATGCGTTTAACTGCTACCAAATTTATTTCACGAGGAGATTGCATGTACTGGTCCGCTTGGCATAAACCATAAAGAGTCTTTTCCAGCTTACATACCAATGATGTACCATCGGAAGCATACTGCACAAACCCCGGTGGCTGCTACATATACACATCCTCATGCAAGTCACCGTTTAAGAAAGCATTATTAATGTCAAAATGTCTTAAGACCCAGCCGTGAGCAGTAGCCATGGTAAAAAGAACATACATTGTTGAAAATTTCACAATCGGGCTTAATGTGTTTTGAAAATCAAGACCAGGCACTTGTGTAAATCCTTTTACAACCAGTCGAGCTTTGTAGCGAAGCACCGACCCATCAGGATTTCGTTTGAGTTTAAAAAGCCACTTGCATCCCACCATATTTCTATCAGCAGGTAAGGGAACAAGCACCCATGTTTCATTGTCAAGTAATGCGGAGTATTCAACATATATTGCTTCAGTCCATGCACCAGATTGAAGACCCTCGTCATTCGTAGTTGGTACAACATTATCAAAGAATGTAGCATAAACCTTTGGCTTAAACACACCACATTTACTACGAGTCAACATTGGATGACCAGTACGGACTGCAAGTTCGGTATTAATATCAGGCATCAAACCCATGTTCGGTATTAACATCCTCTGGATTTTGTTGTTAAAATTAGGTTCAATTCTTTTACCTTTTTTTATTTAGTTTTATATTATAATTTGATCTGTTTGAGTTTTAAGTTTTAAACTTTTGGTCCTGACTTAAGCAGTAACCGTTAAATTTGTTAAACTAAAATTTATTATTAGTGCTAGTGTTATGCATAAGTTGTAAATTTAATTCTTATTTTCCAATGTAATCATTTTGCATCCATGTAATTCAATCGTATCGTCATTGAAATGTTTGCAATTGATTGGAATTTCGGACTAAAATATATATGAGGATTAAAATCAAATCTACAGTATAGGGACTGAATCTATAATGTATGCATGGTATAAGGATTGATTCCAACAGAAGTTGACCTTAAAATTAATTTAACAGTTGGGCGGGTCTATGGGAAATTTAAGTTGAAAGAGATAATTCTTTACCCAGCAATTAATAAAATAATGGCGTGATAAGTTTTTGTTCCAATAGACAAAGACCTGTGTGACTGACACTCAAATGCTTAGGTTAGATTCTCCATTAATGTAGCATTAAAAGAATTAATAACTCTAATAAATTTTTCATTTAAGGTTGGTTGTTGGTTTTTATCTAAGAATTTTGTTTTACTATTCGAATTTATATTATTTCAGTTTAAAATGTAATGTGCTTTATCACAATACTTATTACTTATTATTTTTTATAAAAAAATGAAAAGAAAATTATTTGAGATTAAATTTGATATCTAATATTAAAATCATGAGATTATTAGCAATTAGGGATGTTTATTGAGCGAGTCGATCACGAGTTAGGCAGTGCTCGACTCATGCTCGCTAAAAAAATTTATTGCTCGACTCGTTGCCCGTTAAGCTCATCAATTTTTTTACCTTATTTTCTTAATTATAGATAAAATCTACTATTACTATATAAAGCTTAATATAAACATAAATTTTAACAAATTTAACCAAATAATTATCAAAATAATGTATGAAGTAATTTTAAAGTCTAAAATTCAACGTAATAATCCGTAAATACATTAAAATAATATATAGGATTTGACTTTTAGGTGTAGTAAAAAATTAATTAATAATTTAGTATTTTTTATTGTTTATTAGATATTTAATAGATCAATACTTTATCATATTTTTTTATTATCTATTGGTAAATTAGTAATTTTTAATTTTTAAATATAACTACTAAAAAATTATAATAAAAAAAATTAACGAGTTGCTCGCAAACTTATCGAGTTGAATTTGATTTTGCTCGACTCAACTCATTAAGATCTCGAGTCGAGTCAACTCAAATCAAACTTTTACCGAGTTAAATTCGAACCTCACGAATTATTCAACTCATTAGACACCCTGTTAGCAACATTCATATATCGGATTTGAACTTAAATTACAATATCAAACTCAACTGGACTTCTAATATTAAATAAAAAGAATAGAGAAAACAATTTAGAGATAAAAATTTTAGATATGTAAAATTTATAGGGACTGAAAACAAAATTAGACCACAAACTAGTCTAGCAAAAACTACAAAGTAAGCCTTTATGGGCTATGGGCTATGGGCAAAGGCTTAGGTTGGACTAAGCAGGGAAACCGGTCTTCTTCCCATATTTTTCCAACCCCACAAGTAATCAATTACTATTTTTTTGGCCATTGATGGCTCAACAGCCGTCGCTGTTAAACGTCCATGTAAGGCTACTAGGTTTCAGCCTCCAGTCAATAACTCCCTCCCCCGACTGCTCATCCGTTTTCAACCTCAACGGCAAAGAAATCTCACTCGTCGAAGTCCTCGGTGCAGTCACTTCCCGGGACTATAAACCCAAAAAATTCATCAGATTGACGCTCGACGATAGCACCGAAACCATCACTTGCATACTCTGGCTCAACCACCTTACTTCCCCTTTCTTCTCTAGCCGCTAACCGGGAACGCTTCGTGTTATTTCCGACTTAGCCAAGAGCTTCGCCGACGATCTCCGTATCGGGGAAGTGGCCAGAGTGCGCGTCAGGGTCGGCATATAAAGGTGATTTGCAAGTCACGGTTTCCGATGTTGTGATTGAAAGTGGCCCCGATGCCGAGGCCTGGCATCGACTGGTCTGCATTAGCTTGGGTCGTCAATGTTACTTCGCTTAGCTTAGGTCAATTTCAAATGGCCCAATTGGAGGCGGTAGTGAAGATTAATTGAAAAAACGCATAAAATTATTATTTAAAAAAAACTCCAAAATCCTTAACAAATCCTAATTTCAATCCCCTTACCACCACTGGCCGCCACAAATCGTTGTCAATATGTTGACATCTCGATGATGCCCGAACATCGAATGATCGAACCCTAATGATTCAAGCACGATTACAACAAAAATGGACGATTGCATCGACTTATTGATTATGACTCATGATGATATTTCCAGCAATTCAAGCGATGATACCTCCCAACGTGTGTTAAAAATCTGATTTGATAAAGTGACCGACAACAAAAAGTGACGACCAATACAACATGAGTAAAGGGGTTTGGATTTAGGGTTTTTAGGGTTTTAATATTTTTTAGATTTTAAGAAAATTTTGAGTTTTTTTAATAAATAAATTATATTTTTATTTAAAAATAAAATTTATAAGTTTGACACATGTCACTTAATAGTTGAATTAAACAACTGGCACATAAAATATAACATTAAAAACGTTAGATATATATTTTTAACGAAAAAATCTTTAAAAAGATAAAGTTAACTTTAGATATATTAGACACTTTTGCCTTAAGCCCAAATATAACGTAAACTAAACAAGTGAAGCAAGCTGTCCACGTCGACAAACGTAGTTTCTTTGTACACTTGAACGTACTTCCTCGGAACCTCATGTAGCTTAAAACATGAGGCACCACAACGGTCAAACTCATATGTGTACAAAATTTATGTAAAGTAAAATTAAGATTAGATTGTCATATTATAAATTTTAAGAAATAAAAGTATCGTTATATCATATTATATTATTTATTTTATTAAAACTTGATAATTAATTAAAGTAGAAGGAACAGCCATCGATAATGACTAAAACACATTAATGGACTTTGGTGGCCGAATGTGGTTTACCCTAAACGATATTACCTTTCCTTGGTTTTACCTTCATAAATGTGCTAGGCATTTAATTTCCTTTTCATTTTCGTCCATTCTTATCGACATTCCATCTTCTTGTCTTGAGCGGAAAAGGAGTGTATTTTCTTCAGTGAAAATGAGTAAAGCAGCCATTGTTTTACTCTATTTTTGTTTCCTATCCATCCTTTGTGAAGCCAAATGGATCAGAGAAAAGCCTCAAGCTTTTGAGTCCTTCAATGTCAGCTATATACAGGTACCTTCTCTTTACCTACAAACCCTTTGTCAATGAAATTCTCGTTTTCATGTGTTTAATTTGTTCTTATAAATCAAATGATTTTATCCCAATTTCTTGATGCCACAAAAAAAACGGGGATAGAATTTGGGGAGCTGTTCATACTCGGTGGTTTTTACAACGAGCCGTTCATCAACCGTTTACACTCGAGATCAAATCGGTATCGCTTTTGGTGATGCCTATGGTAATCAGGTTCGATTCTTCTCCACTTTCCCACAATTTGATTTTTCAATATCATGGTTGTAGCTATCCAAATAATCTATTACTTAATTTACTAGCTACTGGTTTTCGTGTTTCTGTGAAATTTACTTCGTTTTCCCCTGATGAACTTGCTTTCGGTCGAATCGACATTTGCAAATTTCAATTGAGAAAAAATGGGGGGGATTTGTGTACCGAATATCATGATCTTTTTAGAGCAGTATGTGTTTGATGAAATTCAAGTTCGTTTTTACATCTTGAAATCATGGAGGTTTATCTAGTAATCTTAAAAATAAGTGTGTAAAACCATTTTTGCAGATGCTTTTTGACAGATGAAACTGATATGTAGAAAAAGGATATTGATTGTTTCTTTGATAATCAGATATATGCTCCGAGGTTGGATGAACCGTCATCTAGGGCGTTTGACCGATGTTCTTCGGATACCTTTGAGATTAAAGGACCGTGTGCGTATCAAATCTGCTATGTCTATCTCTATAGAACCGGACCAGATGGTTGGAAGCCGGGGACAGTGAAGATTTATGGTTACAACTCGAAGGCTGTTACTTTTTACTACAACACCTTCATTCCAGGTGACATTTGGTATGGATTTAATTATCACAACAGTGCATCCTCTTCATCTCGATGAATCAGCCAGATGCCGCTCTCACTCATGATTCTCTCGTTTGTTTTCTATCCACTTGCGTAACCACCGGTTTGTCGAAGTCCAATTATGCCTATAACCGGAAAATTTTGTGGAATGTGATATGAACTACGTAGCATATGCCGGTGTTAACATTGTTTTTTTTCTCGAATATGTTAGCTACTTGCACCATAATTCATGCCTGTTAAGAACACTAGACTGTCACGTTGGTAGTTGAACTGCGTATCTTTATGTTTATTGGTACTTCAAGAGGATAGCGGTATCGACCAAGTATTGCATTCCTCTTCGTATGCATATGAGTGATAGCTGTTCCTTGGCCCTGAAAGCCAGAATTGTGGTAAGGGATGGAACATCGGGAGGGGCCGAGTACCTAAGAAGCAATTTAACTCAAAACTTTGGGGGTCCCATACCCTATGTAGTTCCGTCCGTGTGTGTGGCATTGTGAATCTTGAATCCGAGAGCTTTGGAGTACATTTGCATGCATATTTTGAATGTTACAGCTCTAATGTTCTAGTTAAATACGATTTTTTTTTCAATTTTAAGTTATAAATATTTTTTAATAATAATTTTATAATTTATATTTAATTAATATATTTTAATTAAATAAATGTAATTAATTTTAACACTAGTCTAATTTTAAATTTTTTTATTGCTAAAATATATTCTCAAGGTGGTATATATTTATGTGACACTCTTATTAGAGGCATACATTTATTAAAAAGAATAACATATTGGATGATATATATTTTCATAAAATAAACCGTCAGTGATTTAACATAAATGACTAAAATGTAAGGTTCATTTCGGTGATCATTGATCTAGTCTATTTCAGGGCAAGTGATATCGATTTTTTTTTTTGGGTTTAGTTTGGCATCGATGTCTTAGTGAGTGTCGAGTGGATAAATAGGATGGACAATCGTGACGGTGATTCATGATGAGAATGTTATTAGATTGAAAGTGTTACGCTTTAGAGAGATGTAAGGATATCAATCCCACATCAGAATAGAAAATAGAGGTCTTGGAGTTTAAAAATAGTGACATTACATGTTCTATCATATATATCCTTTGTAAAGAGAATAACAGTCTCATGTTTAATCTGAATTAAATCAAATAATCTAGATCTAAAGGTAAATACTCATTAAAATCCAATAGTCTAAATTAAAACTATTTTAAAAATATATGAAAACTATAAAGAAGTAATATTCAGTAAAATATATAAAAAAAATTACTCAATTATTAATAAGATTATAAAGAAATTATTTGATTTTTTTAAAAAATAAAACAAATCATTCAATTAATCAATTGTTATAAACATGTCATTTTGTTAAATGTGTAGCATTAGTTAATTGTTTCATTTTTTTGGTTGTAAAATGATTTATTTGTAATAATCAATCAATTGAATTATTTGTTTGTAATTTTTTAAATTTAATGACCTTTTATAATTTTACTAATAGTTGAGTGATGGATGGTGTATTTTACACAATATTATTACTATTATTGTTATTATTGCTCTTACTGTTTCCCTCCCGCGTTTAACTGCCACATAAATTGCACTGAGAGGAACAAACTCCCAAGCTGAGACATTCTCGCATTTTTTGTTTTCTACACAGATCTTCAAGACTCTTGATTTACTTGTTATCATGATTATTCAAAGCTTTTAAATTTTTAGTAACAAGAAATATGCCTTCTATAGCTTTATGTGATCTAAAACACAAGAAAGAAAAGAAGAAAAACGCTCTAAAAAAATCCAGAAATCGAGAAAAAAGTGAAGAAACTGAAGGAACCTAAGATCAAGGAAGAGGAAAATGGTTTGGAGGTAAAGAATATTAAGAAAAAGCGAGAGGGGTCGGAGCTCCACTTGGAAGAGGATAGCGAGACTAGGTCGGAGGTCGTTAAGCGGGTAGATTTGAAGGTGAAATAGAAATTGAAGAAGAAAAACAAAGCTAAGGTGGAGGAAGAGGAAGATGGTGACGCTGATGATGATGATGAAGAAGAAGAAGGTGAAACTGAAGATCCGAATGCGATTTTGAGGTTTCGGGTCTCGGAAGCGGTTAGAAAGAAACTCGAGTCGAAGGGGATCGAGTCGTTGTTTCCTATTCAGGCCATGACTTTCAATGTTATTCTTAACGGCACTGATTTGGTTGGCCGCACTCGTATTGGTCAGGTGTGATATTCGTTTTATTGAAAAATGTTTGCACTTAATTTTTGACTGCTAATTTCTGATCTAATTTTACCATCGTATACGTATTTATCTTTTGATGAGAACGATGTTTCCTTTTTTTTATAGTAAACGCAAGGTTTCCATGTGATGAATTTGTTTCTGTAGAATTGACTATCAACTCCATTATCTCAGGAATTGGATTGATATGATTTATGACATGTGAAATGCATGGTTTTAATATTTTTCTCTGTTTTCCTTGTTTAGAAGTTTAACTGTGATTCTTTCAAACCATTTTTGTGCGACTCTTTCTAGAAGTTATCTTGTTAAGGAGCTCATTAACGTTATTTGCTATTGTGCAGGGTAAGACACTGGCCTTTGTGTTGCCTATATTGGAGTCTTTAACCAACGGATCTGCAAAAGCATCAAGGAAGACTGGATATGGCAGGGCACCAACTGTTCTGGTACTTTTACCAACTAGGGAATTGTCTAAACAGGTACAGCACCACTAATCTAATTCTCTGGACATCAGATTCTTTGATAGTACCTTATTGGTTGTCAAGTTTATGCTAATTAATCCGTTTGTTTCTAGGTTTTTGAGGACTTTGAAGTTTATGGAGAGGTTTCGGTGTTGACATCAGGCTGCTTACATGGAGGAGCCCCCTACCATACCCAAGAGATGAAACTGAAGAGAGGAGATTGGGACATATGGCCGCATAAAGGTAACCTGTTCTTGATATTCATTGAATAGGTTTTGATAGTTTTAGAGATGTAATTAAATTCAATATCTATTCTATTTAAATGCTTTTACCATTTGATGATGGTAAATGTCCTAGTGCAAATGTTGCTGGATCACATAGAGAGGGGGAATATTAACTTGGGTCAATTGAAATTTTGAGTTCTTGATGAGGCGGATGAAATGTTGAGAATGGGATTTGTTGATGTCTTGATGATGTTGAGCTTATATTAGGTATGCATTTTTGTGACTGCTGTTTTACTTTTTCCCCTTTAGTGATATAATTTTCTCTCCGTCCATATTAGAGATGTAGAACACATTAGAAGGTTAAGAACTGACAAAGTTACACCTTTATTCCAATTATTGACACCATTTATACCTGCGTGCATCACTCTACTGTCTGATTTTCTTATGGTAAGTAGTTACTTTTCCAGGCAAGGTAGAGGATGCAAGTAAAGTTCAAACACTTCTTTTTAGTGCCACCTTGCCGGACTGGGTGAAGGGTGTATGTTTCTCAACTGTTTTCATACGTTGTAGTATCTTTATTATCCCTGTATCTGCTCCATCTATTAGAACGTGAATTAAAAATGCAACTTGGATTTCTTCCTCTTCATTTACACTTCTCATCATGAACTTTATTCCTTTTCATTGCCAGATTGCAACAAGATTTCTTAAAACAAGTAAGAAGACTGTTGATCTTGTTGGTAATGAGAAGATGAAAGCTAGTACCAGTGTTAGACATATTGTCTTACCCTGTTCTAAGTCAGCAAGGTCACAGCTGATCCCAGATATTATCTGTTGTTATAGCAGGTTGGTTTATGAGCTTTAAAATAATTTAGCTTAGTCGTTGATATAATTCAGCGGTGGACGTACTATTATATTCACCGAGACAAAAGATTCTGCTTCTGAGTTTTCCGGCTTATTGCCTGGGTCCCGTGCTTTGCATGGGGACATACAGCAGGCCCAACGTGATGTAAAGCCTTATCTAGAGTATATCATTTTTCATGCTTTTGCTCAAGCAAAACGGATCCTGTTGTTTTACAATTTCTCATTTTTGGTATAATGCTTGCAGATCACCCTTAATGGGTTCCGGTCGGGCAAGTTCATGACATTAGTGGCTACAAATGTGGCAGCACGTGGATTAGATATGATGTTCAGTTAATTATCCAGGTATATTTGGATACTCATTTTTTTAAAAGCTTGCGATGTGTTTGTGATTCCTTAATGTTTAATAACATTGATTCTATTACAGTGTGAGCCTCCACGTGATGTAGAAGCATATATTCATCGGTCTGGACGAACAGGGAGAGCAGGTATACCATAAGTTTGCTTATTTTTTTCTGAAAAAAAAATGAGATGATACTGAGAAGTTACTAAATTTCAGGCAACACTGGAGTTGCTGTCATGCTTTTTGCTCCTAAAAGGTCAAGCATATCTAAAATAGAAAGAGAATCTGGTGTGAAATTTGAGCATATTTTTGCTCCTCGGCCAGTTGATGTTGCTAAATCTGCTGGTGTAGAAGCGGCAAAACTAATAACAGAAGTCTCTGACAGGTATACTTGCTAATAATGTTATTTTATCTCTTCTTTGTAAGTGTCTACTCAGATCTTAACCTGTTTGAGATTGCAGTGTAATTCCAACCTTCAAGTCCGTTGCTCGGCAACTATTGGCAACGTCTGCTCTATCAGCTGAAAATCTACTTGCCAAAGCATTAGCCAAGGCTGCAGTGAGTTTTCATCCTCGTCCATGCTTGATCTTTTTGATTCTCTTCATATTATGAATCTTGTTTACTGTTTGACGGATTGTTCGAATGACGATATATCTCTGGTTTCCATTTTCGGTTGAAAAGACCCAACTGTTGCATGATTTTTCAGGGTTATTCTGAAATAAAGTGTAGATCCCTTCTAACATCTATGGAGAACTATGTTACATTACTTCTGGAAGCTCGAAAACCCATTTACACATTTTCGTAAGTTTATGAAACATTTTCTTGTGTATATCTTTGTAACCGGTATAGAATATGTAAGCAAAGATACTTCTTTGTCCCAATGATCTCAATGAACACTAATATTATTGTTTGATAGTTTGAATTAACAGTTGAAAAAACAGAGGAGACTAAGGAAAAAATCGGGGTAGTAAAATTGAGTCTTTTTTCCTTTTTGATAAAAAATTATATTATTTTCCTAGCTTCGGGAAAAAAAAGACTCTTATCTAAATAAGGGAAGGAATGATCTTTTCT